ATCAAGATATTTTGGAATAGCAAAACATATACTAAGTGGAGTGAATGGGATAAGAACTGGATACATCATACATGATGCATTCTTATAGTGTATATTATCTTTCTACTTGCAAGGGGGAAAAGGACGTGATGGAAAAAAATACAAAATCTGTAAATTTATTTCGCTTTACATGAATTAAATTAACAAGGTAGGTATACATTCTTCTAAGTTCTAACCAACTAGATATTTATATCTTTGTTTCTTGTCACACATGACATACGCACATAGAGATTGAAATTGTGCAATGACCTGTTTCAAGTTCATAGATTTATGTATATTTGGCCCCTACGTGTATAATATCGGTTAGATAAAATATGTATGTAGGTGTATTTTAGATAGAGACGTTATACTGGTTGGTGTTGACTATCGTTAAAGCATATATGTGGTATCTGGACAAAACGAGTGAGTAAATTGTAAAAAGACAGTAAGTGCTAATTACTTGATTAGTTTTCTGATATATGTAGTGAACACCAATTTGAATTTGAATATAAAATCATGTGGACGAAAAAGTCAAAGATTTATCACTTCATATTATTTTCTTTTTACTTGTTAATCTTGTTGTGTGCTATAGTTTTCATAATGTCAAAGTGGAATATTTAAGGTTTTTACAGAAAAGCTCTCAAGTTTACTTTGGTTCGAAGGATAGTCACATGGAACCAAGTCCACGTCCATGAACTCTTTCGACCTTTTTTCGAGTTATGTGTACTTTCTTTATCCCCTGCACACGGTATTGACCACTTTTTACTATTTTTCACTCACTCTTATGAACCATTTATTTCCTTTTTATTACCGTTGGTCGCATTTTTGGAAAATTAAATTTAACCGGAGAATAATACTTTAACGAGAATCGTTAAAAACAAATCATGTGGCGATAATTAGATTGAAACCAAAACTTACTCTATATTTGTAGAAAAAATAGGACATGACTTGGACTATAGCCGCTGCAATGTCGTGGTCGAACGACCTTAAATATTGATTGATTAGTTCAACCAACAGATCGTGTCCGTTGGTTTGATTGACTTGTCAACACGAATCGTTTTTGTAGTCATTCTAAATCTGACGGCTAAAAAGGCAAACGTGGATGGAGGGAGTAGGACCCACAAAGAGGAGTCCCACAACGTAAAATAAAACCGGTCAATTTGATTTTAACACTAACTAATCAAAACGTGGTGGTCCATTTTAACGTGCTGCCCAACACGGCTTAGAGAAAAAAAGCACATAACATTGCGCCAATAAGGTCCAAATGATATTAATTTATTATAAAGTTAAATTGAATTATTGTTAGTATATGTTTTGAAATATTTAAAATTTCATATGGGCGTGTAGGGTTTTAATGCGACAAAATATTAAGGGGAGAAAGATATAGTAATCAATTTTCAAAAACTTTATATGGTGTTTATGTTTTAAAATTCGCAATTCCATATATTTAATGAGGGCAAAATGTATTAAATTTTGAATATCCACCGGAAGAACACACAGGTGTCGTATGCTGTTACGTAGAATATTCATGTCCCAATAGGACGTAAGAAATCTAGTAATCATATTTAATTATTTGGTCCCGCCGTATTTTGTGACATGTTCTAGAGTAGAATCATGTAAAACTGTAAGAGAAAATCATTTTTTCAAAAATAGCAGAGTATGCAGATCACATACTAAGATGGTGCATCTTTCAAGTTAGTAGCTCTTACATCATTGCTAACGATTTCACTCGCATCACTGGACTTCTTTTGGTTTCCAACAAGCTTGTTATATTTAATTGTCAGGTTAGTTGTTGGCACGTCACAAGAACTAGTAAGTCCCATTGTAATCTTCATTTTCAGCCAAGTGTTGTACTTAACAGTCGTCTCACGGCCAAACGTTGACCTGAATGTTTCAGTGCCGTAATAGGCAGATTATTCAAGCAGATATGAACATTTGATGGTAAAGGAAGTGGTTCCCGTTCCTGCAGCAAAACTTGATGGTGTCACTGATTCTCTAGTGCCGGCCCTGAGGGGAAGCACTCCAAACAATATAGCTTCCAGCCCTCCAAATATACTTGGAAAATTCAGTGTTTTTCAGAGAGAATTATTGCTATTTTATAGCATTTTAACTATAAAAAAAACTTCAATATTTTTATAAAAATGGTCAATTTTTAGAAAATTGCTTGTGGTCTTCCTCATGTCAAGACTGGTACTAAATTCTCATCAAACATGTTGTGATCATTAGATCACTAGATGTTGGCATCTGGAGGAGTAGAAGACATCTGAGATCCATGTATAATGAATGGCAACCTTCTCATCATATGCGACCTTTGGCAACATCTCCTCTTATACTGCAAAAACAATCTCAAAGTTGGAGCAAAAATCTAAGGAGTAAAGGCCATATAGTAGCTGTTTTAATAATAGAATGCTAGAAAGAGTATTGGATGTGTTTGGATGAGGAAGAGTAGATCAAATGCTACGACCAAACCTAACCACTATCTATGTGATTTAATTATTATTAAGCATCAAACCTAATAAGTGTGCAGTTGAACAGAATGTGCTATTTTTGGAAAGTTAGAGTAGTAGGAAAGGTTAAGTAGTTGAGATAAAATCGCATGTTTCTTTTTAAAGACATAAAACAGAGAATCAATGATAAAAGGACAACATGTGTAATTGTGAACATATGTTAGGAGCTTCCGAACTCCCAAGAACTTGTACATAGAGAGTTCAGAGAGACTATTAAACTCCACTTTCAATGTAAGCACTGTCCATAGATCCTCTTACACCATCAAATCTGGTGTAAGGATTAGAGTTGAGATGGAAGTGCTTGTCTACTCTTTTCTTTTAAAGACAAAACAGAAAATATCAATGTTAAAGGACAACAGGTGTGAATTTGTGATTGTGAACAATGTAAGGAGCTTCCGAACTCCCAAGAACTTGGACATAGAGAGTTCTGAGAGNCACCATCAAATCTGGTGTAAGGATTAGAGTTGAGATGGAAGTGCTTGTCTACTCTTTTCTTTTAAAGACAAAACAGAAAATATCAATGTTAAAGGACAACAGGTGTGAATTTGTGATTGTGAACAATGTAAGGAGCTTCCGAACTCCCAAGAACTTGGACATAGAGAGTTCTGAGAGACTATTAAACTCCACTTTCAATGTAAGCACTGTCTCTGGATCCTCTCACACCATCAAATCTGGTGTAAGGATTAGAGTAAAGATGGATCAATGCTAATAGACTAGGCAACATAAAAAGACCCTAATAAGAACCTTTTTTGTACGAAAAGAATAATCCCAAAGCAAGAACGATGACTATTACTACTTCTAGTAGTGTAATATATATATATCAAGAAAGAACAAGCTACATCATAATATCATCACTTGGTAACCTAATAGAGAATGAAAAGAAAAAAACATTTATCAACAAAGAGAGAAGAAAACAAGCACAAAACGAGCAAAACAATCTATCAGCTGCGAAATAAATAAGGAAATGTCAAACTTTATCAGAACCGCATAACACCAAAATAACATTTGAGATAAGGTTGCAACTTGCAAAATGAAAGGTAGGTGTGGACTTTGACACCTTGACACCCTATAATCTTATCCAGGTTTAGAGACACTCTTTCTCTTCTAGAGGGTTACACTGAACCGTTGGGAAGATTACAGTAGTAACGTGAAGAGGAAAAAACCTTATTTAAACTTAACTCTTGTCTGCATTTGCCTATGAAGCAGAGGAAGATGATCGTGATGGAGACAAAGACACTGTTTTATGTACCGGTTGGAAACAATGATTTGGGTCAGATGTGTGTGTGCTTAAAGGCTCTCACAAAATCATCATACATTGGATGCAACAAGATGAAAGTAAAAGAGAAATGAAACTGACAAGTGTTGATTTTTAGCTGATGTAGATGATTCTACTGCAACCGATTGTGAAAAAGGACTCGGGTTAAAGCACTTGTAAAGACAAAAGAAAGGCTTTGGAACCTTTTGGAGTTTATGCCGAGGTTGGTTCACTGAATATACACTCGTGGATTGTGTCTGCTTGTTTCTTCTATGTCAACCATTCTGAGGAAAATCTTAATACTATATTTGTGGAGTTGAGGTCTGGAGACCCCAAGGACGATCGTTTTTTAAGGAAAGTTTTTAAAGACGTTGGTGCAATCATATCCCCGCCGTATGTTAAAACAAACCCTTCCAGCATTCCTTGATCCAGTTCGACATTGATATAAAACATCAACCGTATTTTTTTTTTTTTTTGGTAAGATGTTAAGAAACATTGCTACTTATGAGGCTTTTGCTTCTGTCAGGTTTCAAATGGAGCAGAGTCTGTTTGCAGAGAGAGAATGTGAAAAGAAGTAAAGCTTTAAAGTGACATGAATAGAACATTAGAGATCCTAATTGTCTATAAACATCTTCATGTTGATGGAGAGAAGAAACTCATGCATATATTTGATATGGGCCTCTCAGTACATTTGTTTCCTCCTGTTTGTACTAATCAAATTATTTGTTTTTTCTTTGCTGTAAGAATAAAGTACCATGAGTATTATAGCAAGCATGAGATCTTTATCAAAGCATGGGACCCTGATATTTACATCTCTACATTATTGTAATTTTATAAGATATCCACAAGAAAGTTGATTGGAAATGAGATAATGTGAGCCAAGAAATTTGAATATTACAAAAAAGGTGCAATACCAAGACATGAAGTGAACCAAAAGCTTGTCTGGATTCTCTTGTCCAGAACCCAAATAAATAAAATAAAATATAAAGGAATGGAAAAAAGAAGCTTTATGTTGTAAAACGACTAGGAGGAATAATGTGACCTTAACTAAAGCTAAAACTACAAGTTTCTGTTGTCTTTTTGACTTTAAGGATCATGCAAAACACAAAGGCAACAGTGATCATCATCTTCTATTCTCTTTTATGGCCTTCTTTTGTTAGATCACGTTTTAGTACACTTCAGTTTCTTTTTCCTTTTTCTTAGTTTCATACTTTATGTTAGCTTAAATCCAAGGTCACTATGAACATTTCTAATCTTTTAGTTACTGTAACAACAACAATAACAAAAGGTACAACTCAAATATAGAACCAAATACACATCATCAGTCTGATTAATAAAGTTGAACTTCCTTTTTATTCTCAGAATTAAAGACAGAAACTCATTTCAACAGAAGTGAAGTTGTTGAAAATCCTCAAGCAGTACACACAAATATTAATGTCTTTTTTTTTGTTCAACAACAAGTCATTCCTTACATCTACACTCAAATTAGCACTGACTCTACAGAACATCACCCGGATCTAAATCTCTTTTGGTTGTTGGCCTTCCCATCAGATTTAAAGGTCCCAGTAGATTCACCTTCTGATGAAGCATCAACCGATCTAACGAAAGAATGAGAAAGATCACCATAAAGACTTGCCACAGTTCTGATATTGTTATTGAGCTCTCTTATCAAACCAACGTTTCTTCCCAAATGATCTACTTGTTTAGACTCATGGTTCTGATTGATCTCGTTGATCAAAAGCCTGTTCTGATCCAAAATGTATTGAACCTGAACAAATCTATTCTGCAAATTCTGCAACACTTTGCCATCCATCTGATATCTCTCTCCATACCCGGAAAACACATCTCCTTCCATTCTTGGTTCCATTAAGCTCAGATCTTGATTGATCTTGTTCCTGAGATTAACAATAACAAAAGAGGGATTACTAAAATCTACATGCAAGACAAATCACATTTAACAAGAGTGTTTAGTTCTGCTTCTCCCGTTGACCTATTCTATAAGCTATTGATCTCACATAAGATCCCAAGCACAGATAAAAATTATATTCTTGGACAAGATACCTAGCAATATATTTGTGAAAAGAGATCTATATATGTATATATAGATAAAAGGGAAGAAGTAATAGCTATAAGTAGCCTAGAGACAGAGAGATGATCTCATCAAAGGTAAAAACCATTTACATAAGATTCATAGCAATATGTTAAATCTATAAATTTAAGACAATTAAACCAAAAGATTTGTATCTTAGATAAGAAGAAAAATGGATCTTTTGATTTCCTTACCTCTAAAAGCAGAAAAAACAAGCTCTGGGAACAGATAAATAATAGCAGAGAGATGAAATCAAGATTATATTTTCTTGGGAAACAAAACTAAAGAATCTTATTTCTCGAGAAAATTATATGACAATTATTGGATGCTGGGAAAGCGAATCTACTTGTCCTCTCTAGACAAACAGTCTGAGACACAGAGAGATTTAAGAGGAAATGAGGAATATATAAATGTTCTTATCATTTTTTTCATTTTTTTTTTTTTAAGTATATATATGATTTTGTTGGCATGTACTTGCTCTGCAGCATCAGTTATGTAGAGTTATTGTAAAAGGTGTGTCATGTGTGCCAGTGCAGACATCTGGAGCGTATAATTATGACCCGACCCGTGAGATTTGTTTTATTGCTTGTATGCCTTAATTGGACTTGTTAATTTCAGGTAAAGAATCGGGTAAAAATGGCAGCAATATTTAAATTGTGATATGAAATGTACTCTGATAAATAAAAAATCTGGATAATCTGTATTTAAAATTACTATTCAAACTTTCAGAAAGTGGGAAACATTGGATTTAGATATTTAAATTTTCAAGTATTTTATGAATTCTCTGATACGGTTAGGGGCATAAGTAAAGGAACCAACCGTTTAGAGAATTCCGAATTTTTTTCCAAAGTTTTCACTGTATATAGGACATCAGAAAAAAAAGTATATGTAGAATGAGGGTATAAATTTGTATTTTAGAGTAGGCCATTCCATGTTTTTCTAAAAGTTAGACTGGCCCTGAAAATTTTATATAATTTTGGATGATTTTAAATAACTGAAATATCAGATAAATTTATAAAATTGATACAAGAGGAACCATCATTCTGCATTATTCCAATTTGAGTAAGAGAGAGCTAGAGAAACAGAAATGGCATAAAATAATCCAAATCTCAACCATTAAGGACATTTTGTTTTCTTTACGATTCTTCCCGTAATTACTTCAAATATGGGAAGCCCTTTCAAAAAATACAAAACCTTAACATATGGGCCGACGCATATTTGTTAAGTATATCTTTGAGTTAGTGTCAATTTTTCGGCCCATAATTGGCAATGTATCACAAATGATTTTTTTATTTTTTTTAAATGTACCACAATGCTTTAACATAGAAAGATATCAAGAAAATATAACAAAAATAGAAAGGATATTTATAAGAATCTTTCTAAAGCTTCTTCTAGCTGTCAAATAGTGTCTTCTAATGGTTCGTCACATGTAACTCTGGTCCACACTACTTAACAACACATACGTATCCACATCTTCTCCCTCGTATTTTCTACGTCAACTTAACCCAACTTGTGACAATTTTTTTGGCACTTAACTCATTACTCCACCTACCAAAGTAAACGAGTGTATTATTGGCGTGATTTGCTCCCTTCTACTTACTTGTGCCACAAGTTAAAGTTGTAGGGGAAAAAACTTAAGCTTCTCCAAAATTAACTTTTAAATTAACCAAATATATCCGAACCGAACCTTTAACAAATTTAAACCAAAATCTAACCGAATAAAAAATGTGCTAAGTTTGATAAAAAATTTAAAAACCGAACCCGACTACAAACCAAACTTTCTTAGATATAAATTCGACAAAATTTAAACCGAACTAACCGAATCGAATAAACCGAACTAACTGAAAACCAAACTAACCGAACCGAATAAACCGTACTAACCAAACCTGCATGCCTAGTCTACATTATCATTTCATATTACCAGCGATCCAGTGATGCTGAACAGGCAGGCAAAGAAAAGAAACATGTTGTTTGTATCTAAGAGTGGTCCTTTGTTTTCATACGTCAATAATGGTTTACAAAAGCTTATCTCCATCTTTCCAATGTTCACCACACAGTTTATCCACCAACCTCTCTATATAAACCCTAACAAAAAGTGAGAAGAACAGAGCAAAAAAAAAACACAAAGTTAGTTCTTACACCAACCAATCAAAAATGTTGCGCATTATCTTCCTCTTATCTCTCCTTTTTGCTCTATCCACCGCCTCAGTTCAAGACTTCTGTGTGGCCAACCTAAAACGTGCTGAGACCCCAGCGGGCTACCAATGCATCCGTCCCATTCATGTCAAGGCCAAGGACTTTGTCTTTTCCGGTTTAGGCACTCCTGGTAACACTACCAACATCATCAGCGCTGCGGTTACACCCGGTTTCGTCGCTCAGTTTCCAGCTTTGAACGGTTTAGGACTCTCTACAGCTAGACTTGACTTAGCTCCTAAAGGTGTGATCCCAATGCACACTCACCCTGGTGCCTCTGAGGTTCTTTTTGTTCTTGATGGTGCCATTACCGCTGGTTTTGTCTCCTCTGCGAATGATGTCTATGTACAGACACTTAAACCGGGACAGGTTATGGTTTTCCCACAAGGCTTGCTTCATTTTCAGATCAATGCTGGAAAATCAGCTGCTGCAGCGTTTGTCACTTTCAGCAGCGCTAGTCCTGGTCTCCAGATTCTTGATTTCGCGCTTTTTGCTAATAATCTTCCCACTGAACTCGTGACGGGTACTACTTTCCTTGACCCTGCTGTAGTCAAGAAGCTTAAGGGTGTTCTTGGAGGAACTGGTTAAAAACAAGACTTGACTATATATAAAAGAACAACGCATGTTTTTGTTTTCTCTGTGTTTGTGTTTCTTGTAATTTTTTAAAACATGTCAAGATTATTATATTGTATGTGAGTTTTTCAATTAAGTTCCTTAGTTGGTCACACCGTTTATATCATTACCTCTATGAAACCTTCCTACGGTGAAACTTAGAAGAAGAAAAAACGAAGTGATGCTAATTTTTAGGACCAAGCTCTCACAAGGGTTTTAATGGTCCCAAATCCATAAATTTAGATCGGTCCATTGCAATTATTCTACATAATATGTAGGTTTTTTTTCAACTCGCAAGGACCATACAAAAAGAGACATGATGCATACAATCTGGAACCAGTTACTATGTGAATCAAGAACACAAACAGATTTTTTGTCTATAACTATTCTTTTTTGACAGATGTTAACCTACGGAATTATGTATAAAGACATGTGTATATTCTAAGAATTTTTTTTTGAAATTTTACCTATGTGATTATCTAATACTGATTGTGATCTAGTATTTTATTACGTTGTAGTTGAAATAATTTTTTTTACTAGTATTTGAGGAGAATGTGCTGTGATTGAAGAGACACTCATAAAGTGGATTCTGAGTGAAATCATTCATCTGTGAGGTACACCTTCGGTCATAAAAAAGACATTCAAAGCAGTTCATTATAAATTATGGTAACACACACGGACATGTGTATATATATAGACTCGCCATGCATCAAGTGTGTCTGTGTGTGCATGTGGCCAAATTGCGTCGACATTGAGGAATCTAGATTTTTGTCTGTGATAAAGAATCTGTGAAAGATGCGAATAAGCATGCAAGATACCATACTTCAATCAAAACGCATGTTAATTTTTTAAAAAAAAGCGTGGCTTGTTGTCAATGTTCTAGTATGAATAGAAATGAAAAAGATTGAGCCTAAAGTAGTTTGCTAGGAATGTCGGGAAGCAAACCAAGCTATCATACATAGCCTTATTAATGCGTGTTCCTCTTCCTCTGGTGAGTGACGAGATCCTGTTTCGAACATATAAAAATTGTTTATATGATCAAAACTTCACAATGTATGTATATGTATAACATATGAAAATACTTGTGTACGCATCTATGCAAACGTATTCAACATATACACACGAAGAATAGAAAGACTACAGGTCTAACCGGTGACCAATGAATGAAAACGAATAATGCATTTTTTATATTTCTTAATTTATTTTACCATTTATAAGAAATATTTTTTCTTTTTTTAATTCCTTACTAGATTTTGACCCGCGCAACCGCGCGGGTGTTTGTTTTCGTTTATAGTTAGTTATATAAACGTTTTGTTTTCACTTGTAAATTTGTATATATTATAGTAATCACATATTTACGATATGTATAATAAATGTTTTTCAAACATAATAATACTATATAATAAGTGTTTTAATCAAATAGATTGTTTCAAATTTTCTATATTATATATGTTTGAAATTGTTTCTTCTTCTATATTTTATTGTTTGCTAGATTAGTATTTCATTTTTAGATAAAGTAATAGAAATAAAGCTTGATTAAATATTAGTATACTTTAATTTGCAAAGATAATATAAACTTCGAAGACATTTTTGCTAAAAACTAAACTTATAGCTTCCTAAATTAATATTATAAAGAATTTTACTTTAAAAAGAACTTTTTAAACAATTTCTTTC